GGAAAAGAAAATGGAAACTCTAGGTCCCTTGTTTAGGGGTCATTGAGCAACTTTGTGCAAGTAGCAGTATGCGGAGAGCATATCCGGCCTTTTGAGAATATAAGAAAGCAAATATGGGATTTCGGACTCTTGGTGATTTAGGAGGTGAGGTTAGGCATCTGCAATCAATCTCTTCATGCTGGACCTCTTATGTTGGGAAATGATCATTAGTTCCAGGGCTTGTTGTGATTCAAGTAACTGAGCAGTAGGGCAAGCTTTTGCATTGATGATGTTGGCTACACCCTGGCCTCAGTCTTCATAACAAGCGGTCCCACAAAACCAACGCACAACAACAAAAAATCAAAAGTAATTTCCAAGCAGCCCATAAGCCGACCAGATTACATATACATGTCATCTTGCAATTGCTTTACCATGTGATTCTCCATTATCGCGATTTTGGGCTCTTCAGGGAGAGATTGCACTGAGCTCTCAGGAACGGCGCTGTACGTCTAGAACGCATGTGCCAACTTGCTGCATATGTGCCCCAAGTTGCGGGACACCAGCCTTTCAGGCATTACCAAGTCAGTCTCCTCAATGACTGGCTGGATGAAGGGGTTGCGGTGACAAAGCTTTTCCTAAATGACCCTTTTCAATGAGGCCAGATTGTTGCAGCAAGTATAGTGCATATGTGTAGGTGTATATATAAATATATATATCTCTACAACTTCATTCAAGTCCCCGAACAAGAGCCCAGTAACACGGGATTGCAAGCCGCCGAATGCTTCTGGGCGTCGCATTCGCACTCAAACTCAAAGCCGATGCGGAGGCGCCGTCGCCGGTCCTGCTGGCCAGTGTCTGAGGTTGAAACCATGGGCCCCTAGTATGAGCCCTTTACACTGGGATCCTTGTGTACCTACTATATAGCCTACATATCTTTAAGGGTCCCTAGAATCTCCGTAGCAGGCCTTATTAGGGGCCCATACCCGTGACCTTACACAGTAAGAGTGGATGGGAGCTTTGCGTTATGGACCTCCCTGTAAAATCAAGGGTGATGAATATGTGAAGAGACATTTGTACACACGGGCAATGCAGCTACATATATACATATATACATATGTAATGTACACTCGTATAATTGTACGGGGTTCCGAGATTAGTGCTTATAGGTTTTATTGTTTCTTCCGGAGGATGACTTGAGAATTTTATAAGAAGGGCCCCCAAGTCGGAGCATATGCAAAGGAACTATTTTATCGTGCGAAACTCACCCTTCTCCACTTGTGGGGAAGGCGTGTAGTTCCCAAGCTCTAGGGTCCCACTATATATCCTTGACTAGAGTGGCACAATCCCTATGAAGATGCCTCCGCTCCCCCCACAACAAATCTTCAAATATGCCTAAGCGTTGAGAGCTCCCAGATTGCAAGCTGACGATTGCAAGCTGTTGACGTCTTTCGCTCGAGTGTTGGCAGGCTTCTGTCGAAGACAACTGTGACATATGAGTCTGCCCAATTCTATTGATGGAAGACTTACTGACACGGCTTCAGGTGTACGGAAGAAAGCCTAAGCCCTGAAGATGCATGCAATACGTTCACAACACCTCACGTGGTGATTCTACGCATGTACAACCTTCGTATTGAAGGGAAATCCTTACAAACTTCAGACGTCTGATGTTTTGGGAACCAAGAACGTCGCGCGCTAGTTCATGACTTGTCTCTTGCTCGTAAAAGAAGGTATTCTCGTAAAGACGCCTATGAATCTGACAAGGAACCCTTCAAAAAAAAGAAACCATGTCTTTCTTTTCTAATTTCGCACATCCAGGTGATGCACACGCCTCTGCATTTTGGACTAGGACGGCGAAATCAGCACCTGGCAAGGATGGGTTTCTTTGTCTAGGTCGGGAAATACACAAGCTATAGACAAGTACTACTGTATTGCTTTTTTTTCTTGCTGATAAACAATGCTAGCAACTAGCTTTCGTCATAGGCCTGCTAGTCTTTTTCAGCTTCTGGGTGAGGAGGATTCAGGATAGTTAAAGAGCTACACTCCCCCTTAAGTAGATAGAATATGGCTTTGGTTATAGGATAGTAAGATCCCCATATAACCCAGATTCTACTAAAGGGGAACTATATGGCTTGGGGCTTTGGGTTTGTATTTTTGTTTGTTGGATTAGGGTCGGCGCAGGCTTGTTAGGAGCTTGAGGCTCCCAAGCCCTGACCTCTAAACCCAAATCCGAGAACCCCAAACCCTAGTATATGCTGATTGGGTATGGGTTGCGTGTGCGGGACAAGGGGCTTGAGTTCTTGGTTGTCGGACTTCAGTTGTCTATGGGTTACTTGGAGGTCCGCAGATAGTCATAACCTACTTACAGTACAAGTGTCCGCACCTAAAACTCAACTGTACACGTATTAGAGTACATAGGAGGCTTGTCATGGGGCTCGAATATCATCAGTGCATCATATACAGTTTCCCATGAACTTCCCAAGTACGGGCCCAAAACGGTGGGTACAGGGCTTGGGTCTACGCTTTCTCGGCCTCAGAGCCTTGTAGGGCCTTGAAGCCTTTGGTGTTTTATGTTGAAGGGTTGGGCCCCAGCCCACTAATACTGACCACAATAAATAATGGCATGTATATTAGCTGAACTCCTAATGTCCCACTTGATGACCGCCGTAAGGCTCCCCCATGTGGTTCCCTATATAAGCCACTTAAAGGAGCTTTCACTATAGTACATGACATCTTGCTTCTGTGAAAATTCCAGAACTGTATGGGTCAAGCCTTGGTGTTATCCTTCCTTCGGGTCCTGAACCCTACACCTGGGTTGCTGTAGAGAAAATGAATAGAGGAACTTAAACTTAGTTAATACAATGGAGGAGAGCCTTATTATGCACTATAACCATTTTCTGGTGACTTAGTTTAAGTTTCTTAGCAGCAAGCCAGCAGAGTGTGCAATCATGAGTCTATGGGGCTTCTTTTAGTTTCCTTCAGTCAGCTGGTTCCATAAAGGAGTTTCATGACCGCCTTGGCCCAGAAACACCGTTTGCGAGACTGCGGTATCACTAAAACTTTCTTAGCGTACAAAAATGGTTCCTAACCAGGGACCCTCAGCCGCAGAGAGCATGGGGAGGGAAGCCCTCATCTTGCACCTTCTACAGTTCATGGGGGTTTCCCAAAATTAGGGGTACCATTTTGGGGGTCCCCATAATAAGGATTATAGTATTTTGGGGTCTATATTAGGGTCCCCCTATTTAGGGAAAGTACCTCACAACATGGCAATGTATGTAAACATGTTCCATGACCCACTAGGCGACTCAGGGGACTCAAACGAGACGAAACCAACAACTTAGCTTCCCATGCTGCAACTCTACATTGCGTGCTCAAAGCAAGCAACATCTCCAGCTGATGCAACATCTCATGCATAAACTTTCAGGCACAAAGCATGTACTTGACTGAATGCTGCCAGGAACTGCGACCCTCTTCACATGTCAACCGAGATTCAACCAACACAATCAAGCCTCCTCACGACCTGGAATGCACAAATCTGATTATGATGCTTGCTTATTTGTAGCCTCAAACATTAGTGTCAGCGTTCGCACTAATGTCCCCTTATGATGCCAACTCGACAAGTTCAGTGAAGTTCCTTAATTCCCATAAGACTCCGTGCAGTAAAGCGGCCATAGTAGCAGAAAGTCAACTCCTCGCCTGGTTGTATCCTGTGAACACTTGCAGGCTCATACGTGCGGTCCAATGGGGCCATATATGGCTACTTTGGGTTAGATAAGCTCAGGCGGCCCAATTCCCGTTAATTCAGGAATATTCCTTTTTGGAGGCACGGGCTGGGATATTCCTGAAAGCATATAGCTAATACAAATATAGATATCCCACTTGTAATGAATATGAAATTTCTTGAAAAAGCCGTATTGGGCTCCCTTCCATGTGGCGGGGTTTGGCGTTTGAAGATGCATAGAAACTCTACGTGCTACATGGGGGGGGTTCCTAAAACTAGGGGTACACTGTTTGGGTGTCCCAATAATCAGCATTGCAGTATATTGGGGTCCATGTTGGGGTCGCCTTATTTTGGGAAACTACCATATGTGTGTGAGGGCTTTATGGCTTTAAGCCAGGGATTACTGCAGGGGTCGAGGAGATTGCGTTTGTTTCAGACAGGTGCATCCTGGCCGAGTTTATGACGTTTCTATAGAGTCAGTGTTGGTCGTGCTGGTCACCTTACCAACATAATTTTCTACAAGCCCAAGGTGTGTCAGGAGCCTCACAAAAAACAGCCAGCCAAACAGCTTTTCACTCAAACCCAAAACCCTATGCCCTAAACCCTTGTGGTCCAGAGCCCGCTGAGGAGATGCTGGCGGTTTCCGAAGCCTTCAATGAGGGGGATCAGGTTTAGGGCTTCAGCACGCGCGTCGCGCAGCAAGAACGGTTGGAGCTCCACGGGTCCGGCAAAATGCGCACCTGGCCTTTGCCTGTCACGAGCTTCAGCCCACCCAAGACCATCAACCCTTACATGGTCCCATACATGGTAAATTGTAGCCCACGCCAAACGCCAGCTCCGGCCATCTTGCGCTGCATGGCCTTTGACTGGAAGAGACCCACTGAGTATCAAAGGGAGGTTGCAAGGTCTACCCAAGAGATGGAAGTGAAGGACCCAGGCGGTCAGGCCGAGTTGAGAGAGTCCAAACAAGTCAAGGTGTTGCAAAGAGCTTCATTCGCTCAACCCACGACAAGTTCCTCAGCTCCAACAGGAGGTCGCAGCAAGCTTTCGCCGTCTCGCCTGGGTTCCTCTTTCGCCAGCTTCAAGAGCTGTCCATGTGTTCGGGTGTAACTGCAAGCTCACGGTTACTGCTCGACATCTTGGATGCGGTGCTTTTGAGTTGCCTTGAGTTTCCTGGCCGCTCAGACTGACAATATAGGGGTTATAAAGGAATAATGATAATGGACAAGAAAATGAAGTTAGTATCGTGTACTACTGTAGATCCCGAGGTTAGAATAACACTAAATCCACCCTTTCACAAGGCGAAATACCTGCGAAGTACCTCCGAGGCTCTGGCTGCCGGTTCTAGTTAATATCTAACGCAACTAATGGTTAGTCAGCAACCTACTAAGGAGTAAGAATCTTAATCATCACCGATAATGAATATATATATATATCTTCTGATAAAAATGTAAAACTCCAATCTTACACAATTCAACCCATACCTTGCTTGGAGTTCCATGAATACTGTCTACCTACCTACAACAGGATACAAGGACCCATGGACCTCCAAGCTGACATTTATATACATAGTATGAGCTTTCCCAACATTAGGGGTACCATTTTGGGGGGTGCCAGAAGCAAGGATCGCAACATTCTGGGTTCTATAACACCCTAAACTCTAAGCCTAAATGAAATTCTGGCATCTTAAATTCTGGAAACTACCATATAGCCGTATGATGTAAACAACCACACACCTTTCCCTAAGGGTCCAAGTACCAGAATAATCGTTAAGGGTTTAGGACCCAAAGCCTCTACTATAACTACTATTACCAAAATCCAAAGTACCTAATTATGGGGTACATGGACCCTCTGGGTTTGAATTCCAGGCTGACCAGATGGCCTGCAGAGCGCTCGCAGACGGGCGGAGCGCTGTGGCACGGTATTGGGCGCCACCACTTTTCGGATGCTCTCTTCTGGAACCTGCTCCAATCCTATAGTCCCCCTTAAGTAGATAGAACATGGGGTATATGGGGATGTTCTTTTAATATGCCCAAAGCCATATTCAATCTACTTTAGGGGGGGTCTACGGTTGAGGGTTTAGTCGCAGCAGTGCTGTCTCGCTAGAGGCACTGAGATGAGAATTGCTCCGTCCCTCATAGATAGGAGGGGATACGGTGGATACTAAAAATCCTGCATGACCCTAAGTACCTGAAACCTTGGGAATAATGGTACTATAGTATACTAAGGTCATGCAGGATGTTTAGTATCAGCAGTAGGATAGACTACTGGGATGATTTGGAGGGCTGGAACACCAGGTGATTCAAGGCAGGTCCTGGTCTTGAATGAGGATTATCATAATTAGTAATAGTAACAGTAATAGTAGTAGTAACGCTAATAGTATTATTAGTGATAGTATGGGTCTAGGCCTGTGGAACTTACTTGTGAAGCTTACGCACCTGTTGCAGAAGTCGTGCTTGCATTCTTATTAACCATGTTGGAAGCAAAGCTTGCAAGAGCAACATCAGGAGCAATACTAGGCTGCAACTGTCTAGACACTACTGACACTATTCGTTCCCTGCACGCCTCAATACAAAACCATTATACTGCTCTGTACCCAGATCTGGAGCATGCAGTTTTTTTATGCGTGTGTATATGGAACCTCCCTACTCTTTGAAGAAACAACACATCGCCCCGCCAAAGTCCTTCAAAATGCGGCCTGTCAGTCTGGAAATAAGCCTATGTATACACACCCTAAGATGCTACTTCATCACCCTGTAGCAGCCATATATGAAAATTAGTATTAATTACTAGGATGAGAATCTTCAGGCTGTTATACTTATAGGCTAGGGGCAGTTTCCAACCTATACAACGTATCCCAGACTAGGTAACACATTACGAAATTCTCTCAGACCATAGGACACCCTAAACCCTAATGTTTACCTGCTGCAACTTGGATAGTGCCTAGCCCTAGGCTTTAGGAAATCACGAGATGACTACAGCCATTTCATGTAGAGTGTAAACCCTAGAAAGCCCTACACCCAACGCCGGAGTATCCCCAAACCCTAAGCCCCTACACCCTCAACCCGGAGCCCTAACTTTAAACCGCAGCCTAAACCCTGAAAGCCCTGCCCTGAACCACAAGCCCTGAACCTTACCTAAGCTCTATGCAAGCCGGCAACATTGAACCCCGAAATCTTCATGGGACAATGCTGTGCCCGCCTCGCCAGGTGGGAGCCCTCCCAAGCTGGAAAACGAAAGCATTTTTGCTCGGGTTTCGGGCTTAGGTTCAAGGTGCACAATCTTCCAACAGGTTGGTGCATCTCTAACTGACGTTTTGCACGGCTAGCTGAAGGCATACTAGTGGTAAACAATCAGGTTCTAAACGTAAATCCCACTGGCATAACTTCCTCCTTGGCACAAATTGATACAGGTAGGAAAGAAGTCCCTCCCACAGGAAGGAAGGCATTCCCAACTCCGTAATGATACAGGCCCCTGAGCCTGGTGAACCTTCCGAATATAAATCGATGCCCTTTTGGCGAACATCTGTGGCATTACGACCTTTTTCTTGTAACCCCAATTTTATACACCCCCTCCATGTAATAGGGATTATAATTGGGATCGTAATATTTAGGCCCTTAAAAAGAGGGGGCTTGCTAATTAGGAATCTACATTAGGCAAGTGGGTGGCAGCTGCGAATTCACACGTACTGGGAATCTTTGCAACTCCTTCAAATGGGCTCATGAATGGCTGGCTGGATGAGAACTCTCTGCTACTTCTCCATGAAAGGCAGGTCGAGGAATTCTCCATTCACGTGACCACAGTTTTTCGAATGATATAATTAGTGTCCCTCCATATACCTGCTATACCACTGTTACCTAGTAGTGGCCTAACAAACCTCAATCCGGCGTATGAGAACTCTAGAGAAGGACCTGGCCATAAGCAGACGCAGTTCGGAAAGCAAGCGTGGTTCAGCTTGCCTTAGGGTGCGCACAGTGGATATAGGCAGGGGCCCTAAACCCTAAACCCTAAACCCCTTAAATTATGTAGGGATTATTCTTGGGATCCACCCTGCCCAAACTACTTCAAACACTAGTAAGGTTCACATGGCAAAGAAGATCCTGAAATGAGTACTCCCGAAAAAATGCAAGTCCGATTTCGGGGCGGAATCGTCCGTATCTGGGGGTACAAAAAGCGAGAGTTTGCAGGGGTTATTTGCAATTGCCGGATCATGTAGGTGTCAAGTACGTTCAGGATTTCCAGTAGGATTTCCAAAATGAGGATGGGCTCCTTGTAAACGCCTGTACCATAATCCCGTCCCCCTAATTGTACCTCCCCCCCCCCTCCAGTGTTAATTACCGGTTCCCCAATTTGGAAATCTTCCCCCAAGACCACTTTTAAATTGCCACAACTAATGTTGATTATGGCTCGGATCCTCTGAATTAGGGGGGGTGTTTTACTGGCACGACTCTTTAGGATTAGGGATCTCCTTGATTTTCTAGACTTGGATGATTTTGGAAGGTTCTTCATGGAGTTTATATAGTATATAGAATCTGAATGCGATGTTAATTGGGTTTATTGCGATTTGAAATCGATTTTAATTAGTTTGCAGTTAGATTTTGCGTAGCTTTCAATTGATTCTAGTCGATAGTTCGATTCTATTTAGCGTTTTGGATTTCCAATAGATTTCAATGGGTTTGAATATATTTTCGACTCGAGTTCAAATCGATTTAATTTGACATTAGATTTCACTGGCATTTACTTTGATTCTAATGGTTTCATTGCGATGTTGTTGCGATGTTGAGTCGATTTAATCGCTTCTTTATTTGATTTAATCGGTTTTTTTATTGGATTTCAAAGTTTATACCATTTTGATTAGATTTCATCAGGACCCAGTTATATACACCCCTACTCTTCGGGTCGTGCGATAAATACCCCCCCCCCCCTCTAAATCACCTTAAATATTCTAATATTAAATATGGTTCGGAATATTCACATTATATGGTGTCAGCCCTTTAATATTAGGTGGAAAGAAAATTTGGGCGCATGAAGGGGGCGCTTGTTTTCGGAAACAGCCACGTGGTCCCTGGAGAATCTACAGAAAAAGGACTTTCATAATCCTCTCATAACCCTAGTGGACACCAAATATGTAGATCCACTCACTAATGTTCGTAGGCAACCCTATATACACCTGCCAAAACCATGAAATCACATTGCTTCAAATCCCTTAGAGGTTCTAGAATCTCACTACTCTGATACTAAGACCCAATATTCCCAACCCTGAACCGCATCCATAAACTGTGTTGTGGCGTGGCCTCTATTAAGCCACTATGTTGAGGTCGGCAAGTTTCGAGCAATTCGAGAAAGGCTGTGGACACAACCTTGTGCTGAGGAATATTTACTTGCCTGCCATAAGGAACACTACATCCGTCCTGACCATGTTACCAGCAGAACCCTGCAAGGCAAGGCCCTGCTCCATGTTCCATGCTTTGAGTTTAGAGATTCTTGGGCTTGAGGTCTAGTGCCACCTATTATACAGGGTTCGTGGAGGTATGGAGAACCCCTGAAGCATGAATGCTGAAATGTTCCTGAACCCAGAACGCAGAACATACCTTCAACAAATAGTGTGCAACTGAAAAGGCATGTCAGGCAATTAATATCCGCCCGCTTGTGATAAAACTCCCACTGGCACCATGCTGGCATATTATACCTTGAACTTTCGGTTTCTTAGAATAGGTTATCGCATGTTATAAAGGACCGGGATTACGTGGGAGGTTATTAGAAAGGACTCTCATCTACTATGCCGAGAGTCTCATGAGACCGAAGAGGCAGCGCCCTCCCTGGCCCCAAAAATAGGGTTTAGGGTTTAGGGGTTTAGGGAGTAGGGTTTTCGACTTTGGGGTCTCAGGTGGATTCTCAGACAGCCTAATACACCTGGATGACCACGACTGCGTTCTCTGCCAAAGGAGGTGGGGTGGAAGTTTAAGCTGTCTGCCCATGTCACGGATTTGCTCAGGTGTTCTAATCATCGATGGTACCAGTGATTGCGAGAGACGGAGATTTGATGCCACCAATGACTCATCTTCCCATGTTCTTGACGACTCCCAGAGTCCCTTTTGTTGTGTCCATCTGCGAAGGCATGAATGAATGAATAAATGAATGAACGAACGAACGAACGAATGAACGAGTGGGTGTGAGTGGGTGGGTGAGTGACAGACTGAAAGAGTCAGACGCAGAGTGTCAGATAAAGAAAGCCAGTGGAAAACAGAGACAGAGACAGAGAGAGAGAGAGAGACAAAGGGTTAGACCCTTTTTTGCAGGAGGCTTCTCGCACCGCCCCACTCCAGGCTCTAGCTGCAACGCTGCAGACTGTACTCATGACAGCATCCTAACACTGTCCCTGGACTCTATGCACATACACAACGTCAACACCGAATGATTTCTGAAAGTGTCTTCATGGCATGACTGCTAGTCAGAATAATACGAATTTAGGCCCTAAACCCTAAACCCTATACTGTAGGGGTCATTAAGACAATCTTGGCTAGGCTTCCGAAGATGGTAGGTCTATCAAGGCAATGATTGGACAACAGATGTACTATTCATGCCACCCTAATAAACCCTACCATAATGTATTGATGAATATTTGCATGTCTACATATATATATATGTGTGTATATGTATACATATGTATATGATATACATGATGACATATATATATATGTATACATATATCCATGACATTTATAAAAGCTCTAGAATTAACAATGCTACTAATACGGCTAGACATACAGAATCACACATATGTAAGTATATACATATGTGTAAAATGCGTGTGCGTAGCAGAAAGCCTAAACACTGCAAAGCGCCTCCCAGGAGCCGTGCAGGGGAAAGGATGCAAACTTGGCAAGCAGCAGCCCAGACAGCAGAGGCTCGGCCTGCTTGGGTCCTTTACAAGGGCTATAGGGCTTAGGGTAGTTATAGGG